CTTTAGATGGGGGAATTTGAATGTTAATATCTAGAGCTTACAATGAAGGTTCTTCTAAGTAGATGATATTTTATGCATATTATTTCTCGTTTTCATTTGACAAGATTGATCTTGCTGTCGATTTTATTAGTTTTCTGGACTATCACTAATTCTTTTATAAGAACTCAATTATCTCTTGAGATTATTTAAATATTGATGGTTGCGTTTTAATTCAATTGGATTAATAGGCCTCGTGCTGCCATTAGATTTCACTTAGCCCTGCTTCCCAAAAGCTAATCCCATCCTGAATACACAATAACCAAGATATATATTTATTATCCAACTGTACTAAATTCTCCACACGCTCTTGTAGCATCTTTAATTATTATTTTAAGTATGAAAATTTTTTTTTTTTAAAGTTTGGATGCATGACCTACCTTTAAAACCTTATGATAAGTACTGTTTTACACTATTTAACTTTCTTAAGTCGTTACTAGATCTCTTAATTAAAGTTTTGACATGGTGTGTTCTTTAGGGCTATATGAAGGCTAGTCTTGTTTTTCACATTATTAAGTAAATTCGTCAATGTCATCACTTTTGATAGGAAGGCAATCGCACATTATTTATGCTGTATAAGAACCGGCTTTCTCAACGTCTATCTGATTGGTTATTTGAAACAACCTTTTCGTGTGGAAAACCTTTTGCGAACATTTTATTGTAATATGCACAAGGTATCGAATTGGAAAACAAGTGAAGTAGATTAGTTTTTGATAAACAAAAGAATTCGGCAAAAAATTGTCATCGATCACTCGTTTCTGAAAGTAGCATCGATTATTAGGTAAAACAGGTTACGATAACCTATCATGATGAATGTTTTCGACAGATTTATGGTCAACTATGGAGACATATCCAAATTGATGCATTTATCTGGCCTAAAATATACTTTTGTAAGTTTAGCTGGAATTTGGTATAATTATTTTCGTTACTATATTACAGCTCTACACTTTGTTTGTTGTATTGTAAGTTTATAAGCAAGTAATTGAATCAGTTGTTTATTTGTGCTCCTCGCCAAGCTTGGCTTAATATATATGTTTTATCTTTTATCATTTTTTCCTTGGTGTAAATATAGAACGAAGAGGCGCAGTCTGCTGAGGCTATTAGCTCTCAAATAAATCAGATGAAAATAAGCCTTGACCCTAGCCTCCCAAACGCCAGAAGTGTTCGTATTCGTGACCTGTCCAGTCTTCTAGATGGTGCCCAGTGCCTCAAAGCCGAAGTCCGTGTTCACGTATATGGTTGGGCGCATCGAATCCGCCGACAAAGCAAGTCACTAATGTTCATCATACTCAGGGATGGAACTGGCTTTTTGCAAGTTGTGCTGACCGAAAATCTGGTAATCCTGTGGAAACTTACAATATTTAGCCACCTCGGTACTTATACAAAAGAGAGTCAAGCTGGCCTTATAGCTAGTGGATATTATAACATTTTCAGTCTCACTAGTATTATAAGCTACGATACTTTTGTCAAGCATATATGAAGAAACTATTTAAGTAAATATGCTTACTGTTTGGCTAATTCGACACAACACACACACACATTTTGATG